TTATTTCACCTTTAAGCACTTTTCCCATGAACCTAGTGGTGGTCCCAAGCTGTTCAACTCTACTGATATGGCTTCCCATCTGGGCTTTCCCCGAGTCTTGCCGTAAATTCCCTTCGCCAAGTCCTGATTGTCCTGCATCAGCTGGACCAGCCGGCCAAGTTGCTTCTTATTGCTAACCACTTTCGATCTGCAATTCACACACATACGTATAGTAAATTTTTTGTACAGCTTAAGATGCAAATAACTTACTTTTTATCCATTATTTCTTTATTAATATCACGAAAATTTATTAATATCACAAAAATTTTGTTCACTCAAACTCTATCGAATCAGAAATAGCAGTAGAAGGATAAGTGATTAAAAACTATTCACTGTCGCTAATTGAGCGACTAATCGACACTCACAATAGGATCGATAATCGATAATCGCTTAGGTCAGTGTTATGCAGACAATCTTTTCTTTGCCAAATTAAATGGCGGCTGCTTATAGGGCTTTCGCACGAGGCGATTTTTCAGGCAACTTTTAGTTGAAAGCAAAAATCGCCTCGTCCGAACGGCCTTTCAACTAATCGCTTTCAACAAAGTTGGTCGCCAGCCAACTTTGAGCTCGTTCAACTTTTTTTCCTTGCAACCCTGTGTTTGTTTACATTCTGTATCAGTGTTGGGAAATTAAATTGTTCCTTCAGTACGAAATCTATACAAAAAATGTACTTTTCGGCTATAAATTGTATACACTTTTTAATTCGCTCATATATTTTCTTAGTACATTCCCTTCAAGACCAATGAATTTATGGTATTCGTGAGAAAGTTTTATTGTTTATGTACATACGTTTACGTAGTTTACACTTTTACAAATTGATTCCACGTGCACATGTACTGCATTTAACGCAAATATGTATGCACACATTTTCAGGTATACATCTTAACAAAAAGCATATTTAAGTTATTATTAATGGATAAAAGAGACATTTTCCTTTGGATTCAGTACTAAAATTTGACATTTTAATAGCATTTCAAGTGCTTATCAAAACTTTACGACAAGATTTGACCTTTTATCTTAATAGTATTCAATTTTAATTATTTTTTGTAAAAATACGGTTTATATTTTAAGAAAAGCTGTACAAATTCAAGGTTCAAACTTTGTGCAACATTAAAAAAAACCAACACACTTTCGTAAAAATTTCGAGCTTTTTAATTCGATTTCCTAGATTTATTTTGAGCGTGCGGTTTTTTAGCCCATGAAATTTTAATATAACTAAGTTTTTAAAGATTTCTTTGATGAAGGTGTTGCTAGTTTTCTCCATATAAAAAAATCGTCGGACACACTTCGTATGGAAGAAAATGGCTGACATCGTCGACAAAAAAAATGCCAAGTTCAACGGTAAGTCCCAGCTACTTTAAACTTGAACTTTATTATACTAAAATTGAATGGGCTAAAAACTAAAGAATATTAATAAAGCTCGAAATTTTTACGAAAGTATGTTGGTTTTTGGATGTTTCGCAAAAATTTAATCTTAGGTTTGTACAGTTTTTCTTAAAGAATACATTATATTTTATAAACAGATAATTAAAATTAAAGTATAATAAAATAAATAGTAAAATCTTGTCAATATGTGAGTGCCTAACGAAGACTTTGGCCCGTAGTCATAGTCAAAATAAAGTCGACTTTAAAGTTTGTATTATACTGGTTCGTTCAAGCCATTTTTCAAAACTTACAAAGGTAAATACGAACTGGCGAACAAAAGAGAATACAAAAAATTTCTTGCTGTGAATTTTCAGAGCTATATATTTTTAGTATTCATTACAAAATTGTATTAAAAAGTACTGCGTAGTAGGAAAGTATATTGTAAATGAAATTGTATCAAACAAGTACAATTCTACCAAAAAATGCCAACACTGTTGTGTATACATATTTTTTTTCTTTTTTACTTTTTTACTCTTATTTTATCTTTCAGCTTCGCTAAAAGCACTTATACCAACGCTTGGCTTACCATATTTACGCCAATTGATAAAATTTGGCGATTTAAACTCATTTTAAATAATGTAAACAACAATTCGAGTTGAATCGAAAATCGCCTCGTCTGAATAGGGATGGCAACTTTTTCACTTTCAACTTCTCATTCAACTCCGCATTCAACTTTTGTTGCCTGAAAAATCGCCTCGTGCGAAAGGCCTATTAGTTTGCTCGGAGGTGGTTATGTCGAGTTTCGCACAGGGTTGCACGTTCATTATGGTTTTCATGGCTATTGCCAACACGAAATGAGAATTTCAGAT